TCATTTTTTAACTATTTGTCGTCTGACGGTACCTATAAGTACCGACACATTTAACACATCACTCAATAAGTTCATATAAAACAACAACTTTTGGGCAATATTCGACTTTATTCATCAACATAGTCTCTAATATTTTGATACGCTGCGAACAAACGCGGCATTCAGATTTTTCCATTGTTTTGAAAATTACAAAAGTATTTCAGATTGACATGAAATTTTGACAGGCGTCGTCTGTAGGTTGGTTCTTCCTAAAAATGTTATGCATTTGTCAACATAAGTACGATCTATATGTCATTCTACGAACTTATTGAGTGAGGTGTTATATCACTATTTAAATTATGTGAAGCAGACCTAAATATTTGTTGGTACCTTAATGTAATCTTTATATTCTATACAATAATGATTTGTTTTGCAATTGGAAACACCAAGTAAGTATAAACCTACACTCAAGTAATACTTGCCATTTCTGTCTGTCTCTTATTATACGATTTAAGCATAAAATTGCCTGAATTTACCAAAAAATTCCACACATTTTTTTCATTGAAAATATTGCTGAAATTTTTATAAAAAATTATCGGCAACTTAATTTTATTGTGTTTTAAAAGAAATCAAAAGAAAAAATATAATAATTGATAATTCTAAAGTATAAATTAGAATATCAATATTCTTAAAGATTCTGAGTTATTTAATTATACAAAATTGTTTCATAACTTAGAAGAAAAATATATTGTGAATAAATGTGTTTTAAAGCGTATGGAACATAAAAAATATGTTGTTTAACAAATTAGGGCATTGATTTTTATTTCCTACCCTGTTCGTCCTACCCACCCCGTCGATGTCCGACCAAGCTCAAAAGCGATGCTATCAACGCATTGTATTCTGTTTACCGTTGAGTACGAGTTGAACAGAAATACAGCCAGAAAAGAGATAAAAGAAAGCAACAAACAAAAACATTTTAAAAGATCGGATATGATGTATTCCTAAACTTCACATTGATGTGGATTGAGTGTAGTGTGTAGTGCGATCATGAAGATCATCCAAGTTTTTTGCTTGTTTTGAAGGAGGGTTGACGAGCGGAGTCCGAGGGGAAGCTGAGCTTAGGAGATAAAGGAGGCAGAGGTGTCCTCAAAACTTAAAATTGTTACATCTCGAAAGGGCGAGACGTGGGGGGATGTTTAGTCGAAAGTTTAATCGGCCGTGTCACATCAAAATTGAGTTATTATGGGAGTTGCAAAAGTGAAGCGAAATTATTTAAGGGAAAACTGATGCCCGAATAAATGACTCTGCGAGTGCGTGCGCGTATGTATGTGTGTATTTGAACGCGCTGGGTGTAATTAATTGCACTATTATTAGTCTACGAGGGATTATGTTTACAAAGTAATTAAATGTATTATTATATAATGCGAGGACGGGTTCGGAAATGAGGGGGAGGATGGTATAAGGGAAACCATTTGTGTGAATATTCAGGTTGTGCGTAAACACCTGTCAACATGTCATCAGCAGAGCAAGTAAGCTGGTGCCGTAATGAGAGGGATTTGAATGGTGCAACTATAACAAACCATTTGGGGTTGGTCTGATGGCGTTCTTTGACACTCTCTCTCCCCCTGAGCCCACTAGTGTTATATGTGTTATGAGGAGAGGAGAGAGAGACGTGATGTCTTTAAATTGCTTGTCGCATAATAGAATCGCGCTAAAAGGGGGCCGTCTGGCGACGCCAACCCCTCAACACGATCGTACGTCTTTCCATTACGTTTTTCTCCGACCTCCCCTGAGCGAGGGTTTGCACTGTTATGTCATAATTGTTCTAGCTCTCTTTTATTTCACCTTCCGCTTTTTTTTTATCTTTCCTCTCTGCTACCTTTCGAGACTTGTTGCCCAACGCATTGTTTGTCCACATCGAGTACCATAAAAGTTTCCATTCGGCGTGTTTAAAAGAGTCTAGCAGACTGATAAAATCATCTCGCTGAAGCCATTCATTTTCCCCTGAAAACTAAAGCCGATAACGTGAAGTCGAGAAGTTGTCGCAGTTACATTTACTCAAAGTTGTCTCTCTCGCTTTTTTGTGTGCTTAGAATAGATAAAACTGTTCCAAAGTAACACAACGAATAAAACCAACAACAGGAACTCTGTAGATTTAATCGATTTACAATTATATATCAATTAATTTATGATCAGTTGTGTTTTAATATTATTCTATTTATATATTATTGAGAGGAAAGATCTTTATGGTTACACTTATAAAAATTAGTTAAATAAATAATAAATTTTACTTTCGATAAAATTAATAGTGTATTTTGATTAATAAAAATAATAATGATTATAACTGTTATATTGACCATAGATCATCACGCTTTTGATTAATTTAATCCATAAAAAAATAACAATATAAAAAAGTGAATTTAAGTTGTCTATTTATACTCAAAACTATATGGCATATAGACTTTATCATATAGTATATGCTAAAGTTATACATGGACTCTTGTAAGCTAAGTTGAATGCGCTTTAATGTATATTAAGCAGTCAGTAAATTCTGTGTGTATGGCAATTGTGGCTTTGTAATAGTTAATATGTTAAACACAAATAAATATGTAATATGCACGAATTTGTTAAATAAAAACATTCTTTTATATTTAATATATTTATTTTAAAATTGAAATATAAATTTAAAAAAAATCTAATATTTAGTTGTTAATATTTCTTATTGTAATAATGTTATACATTCATCAGAAAACAAAAACATTTTTTAAGAGTGGAAATAGTCTTTTTTAATTTTTATTAATAATCGAAGTTGTCTATATCCATTAATTATTTAAATTGAAACTAATTAAATGAAATAATAAATATACATAAATTATTACATATATACTTTAGGGATGCTTGACCAAGCAGATTTATAAGGATCTTCCTAGAGTCGAATACAATACATACAAAGGCCTATTGACCGCAGTAATTCCGCACTCTATGGAATGGAATTTAGTTGATATGCATATATGAAAATTTGTAATTCTGAAATATTAACGATTTATTAGACTATTTATTTGTTAGTAAAACTAAAATAAATAAAAGCTTTCTTTTATTGTTCATTATTTCATCTCATGTACATTATTTTCTATTCTAAGCCTGTTTAATCCAGTGATTCTCAATTTGTCCCGTCTGTCATCAAGTTTTGGGTTGTTTTTCTACACATACCCATTCTTCGGGGGGTCCTTTCAAATTTGTCGCAGACCAAAACATTTGAGAAACACTGGTTTAGCCTCTTAAGGCCAAACTATTCATATTAAATATTTATAATTATTATCACTATAATTGTAATTAATTGTAATATAGTATTAATTGTTGCGACTAACAATTATAATCAATTATAACAGGCTTCAAAAACATCTTACTTTTTATACAACTACAATTATTGTACTATTTATACACAAGTGTAAGTGGAGCTCGTCCAGTAAATCCCATATAGACGAGAACTTAGTATTAAATATAATATAAATATTATTTTTTTTATTACTCTACATTTCATATTTTTTTTAGATGGATAAGTATAGTAACTCACACGATTCAATTGCTTAATTTGTTGTTCAATAAAGTGGTCGTAAATAAATCAAAGTGTCTGTGACTGCTCCATTATTCTTAATTTTTGTCTTACATAACAAAATAATTGTAGTTAATATTTAGATAAAAGTAAGGTTTAATGAAGGAAGGATAAATAAAAAAAGTATTTTTTTAAATTTTTGTAAACTAACTAACAAGGTGAGATTTTAATTATTATTCATTAAATTTACAAACCAATACATATTTATTAGATTTAACAGAAAGTAATTTCATTCTTATGAAGGACAACTTTATTTCACGAATCTGACAAAATCAATCTTGTATCAATTTCTCGTAGTTTGATTAAACTTATTTTATTTCTATCAGCTTCAACTAGTCTTCAGAACGTAGAAAATCTTTAATATCGCAAACCAGCTTTGGTATTGACGTTCTAATAACACATCTCCCTCCATACTCTTCATGAAACGTTTTGATAATAAAATTTGCAATAATAATAAAGCAAAATATGCCGAAAATACTGCAATGAATTTGTTATTCTATAAATAAATCTTGAAATGTGTGCTGTCAAAATGATAATATGATTTAAAATTAAATAAGAATTTACTAGATATTAGACTTAGTTCGATAACCCTTAAGTCATAATTTTGTTCATTATTGAATGCATTTTAAGTCATCCTAGAATTAATACTATATGTTTAGATCTACGTATGGTATATGTTAATAAACATATAATAGTAATACTGGTATCTGTTTGTTGCTCTCTCAACTGGTCATTAACCATGAAATCATTCAGCTGTTTACAATATGCGTATGCATAAATATTTTGTTATGATACCATTTAACAATTATAAGCATATTTTATATTACTGATTCGCTTCCAGTTGAAATCATATGTTTACATTCGTTCCCTTCCGAACAAATCAGGTCAACTTCTTTCCTTTTCTCAGACTTTTTTTTGGAAGGTATATGAGATATGCATGCGTGCGAGAAACCGAACGATGTGTCCGCCCGTCCTTGATCTGGCCTATCTATAAGAAGTGACCCAAAAGACCTCATGTCGAACGTCACCCGTTCACATGTCAAATGAAACGCGATAAAGCCGTTCTGTGCAGATGAAAAGAGAGAGTGATGCTCATCAATGGATGGATAGATGGTATACGATGCGCAGCATACTAATCACTTAACTACTATTTTTTCCGTCCCGATAATCGCCGGCAATAATGCATTGCGAAATGTAAATCACATCGGGGCAAGTAATGCTATAATGTTTATTGGTAGAGCTCGAGCGCTATGCATATATGCATGCACATATGACACATTTGATTTATTTGTTGTAAACGAAACCAGCTGCTACCAGATTTAGTTATCTATTTGCCACGCGATATACACATTTAAATAATAATAAACAGCGATTGATTTAATGATATGTTTTGTTGTTTATATTTTAGGTAACTTCTTGGGGGATATAGCCATTCCAAATGACTTCAAACATGATATACTCGAGGGTTTGATTATCGAAGAGGAAGGACTAACGCCGTTCGTGAGAAAGAAGACGAAGCAATCCTCGCCGTACGAGAATACCAGAAATCAGAATGATCAGCTCGACGGCGAGGACGTAGAAGTGCACAAGGATAAAGTGCCAAAGCGCAGTTATCCTCGCATAGAGAGGCTGAACAAGGTGCAAAGCAACAGCCACGAAATCAACGAAGAGATCACTACCAAAAGACTTCGCCACCAAAGACACGTCCGGCGTAAGAATAATGACGGTCGTCGTCGCAGCAAACGAGTAAATAGGTGAGAAGCAGTAACAACTTGGAGTGATAACCGAATCAATAATCTTGTTTTCTGCAGCTCGGTTTTTCAGGACGAATTGCCTGTCCACGAGTTCGAACCGCGATTTGATTTCAAGCCCAAAACTTCTACAGTTTCCAGTTTCTACGGACAGAAAGATGAAATCCATCATCGTCGCAGGGTCACACGAGCCGCAACCGCGAGGAAGGAGCGCGTCTGGGATTACGGTGTCATCCCATACGAAATCGACGCCAACTTCAGCGGTCCTCACAAGGCACTCTTTAAGCAGGCCATGCGACATTGGGAGAGCTTCACCTGTGTGAAGTTCGTCGAACGTTCACCCCTCGACCATCCCAACTATATACTCTTTACAGAGCGACCATGCGGGTATGTAAAAAAATATGAAATGAAAATGAATGTTATCCCAAAATCTCTAGGTGTTGTTCTTTCGTCGGGAAACGTGGAAATGGACCACAAGCCATAAGCATCGGCAAGAACTGCGATAAGTTTGGAATCGTTGTGCACGAGCTCGGACACGTGGTCGGCTTCTGGCACGAGCACACCAGACCCGATAGGGACAGGCACGTCGTCATCAATAGGGAGAACATAATGAACGGTAAGAAGAAGGACGGAATGTCTCAACGCCCTAATCCCGCTTCCGCCTCTATCGGACACGAACGAAGAACTGTGTCAAATGTGTACAATATACAGAGCAATTTTTCCTGCACCCCTCTCGTTCAGTCCGGAAAAAGTTGTTGCAATCCATGAAAAGGGATTTAGTCCCAGCTCTTCTTTATGGCTACAATCACATTTCAATGATGATGCGAAGGCGTCGACAGAAAGAAAATAAATAAGAGCGAGATCGGTACGTTGATGACAAAATTAAACGAATCCAACAGTACAATTTAGATTTGATGTGAAACAATTTGAACAGACATATACAATTTATTGCAACATAGATACAATAATCAAAATAATTTAAAATACAATAAATAAAATGAATGAAACCATAATGAATCAGAATAAAACCATTGTAATTAACTACAAACGTAGTAAATATTAACTTTAAATTATAAAAAAAAACTTTAATTATATTTATTGATTTTTTTATGCAATAAAAAATTGCCGAAATTTTTTATTTTCTATTTTTGATACACAAAAAACGAAATTACTTTCCGATCAATATAGAGCTTACTAGATATTATATATTCATTTTTAATTCCATAATTATCTTAAAATTATTTTATTAATGTATATATTAAATTTTCTTTAAAGAAAGAATTTCATAAAAATTCCTTACTTGTAGGAGAATTTATTTTATAAATAAATTACATTAGATGGATTATCAACAAATACACGTCCAACGTAGATAGCTTTATCTATTGCTACGTTTCCATCAATATACCGGACTATTTGAAACCGCATATTACAAGTCATTTCATTATAAGTAAACGAAAAAATAAACTAGTCAATACAAAATTTTGACTTCTTATATTCTGAAGAATATTTCGGATTATAATTATTTTCTTATTAATTAAAACTAATAGCAATAATAACATTGATTATAAAAAAAAAACAAGCATTTTGGCCAATTTTAATTATAAGACCAAATACTAAATACAATATTGCAAACAATAACTTCATTTCAGTTTTTCAATTTCCGTTTTATTTAGTATTGATATTTACATATCGATACTCTTCATTAAAATTCTCTATATTGGGAATAAATAAATATCAGTTTATGTATACCAAATTATTTCAACGGGAATTAATAATCGTAATTTAATTTGCAAAAACAATTAATTAACGATCAGTAATTAAAATTAATATCCGTATAGTTCGATTAATTAATGTTAGAGCTATAATGAAATATTTACGCTATAATTAATATATAATTTATAATACGTATATAGATTTTTCATTATATTTACACGCTAATGAAAACTTTATAAGAATATTCGTTTTATTTTAGTTTAGTTCGTTCGTTTAGTTAGTTTAGTTATAATATCAATTTTTCATACATAGAATATATAGAAACAGATAAACTGAATAGTCTGCGGACTAAAATAAAGTATTATTGAAAAATATGTTTTGAAACATTAATCGCTGTAACATGTGTTCTATATAAACAAGAACATGGATGCAAGTCAAAACATTTGGTTTTATCTTATCTTACTCATAGTTTCTATTTAAATTGTAATGTATTAATAACAGTTATTATTTATTGATAATAATTATTTATTAACCAGAAAATAGACTAAAACTAAGTAAATACAAATTGAAAATTAAAATAAAACAAACCTTGATTATTAACAAATTTTCATTAGACCTAATTGGAGCACAGAGTCCGATGACTCTTAAGTTTTTCTGCTCAGTTATTATTTTATTGCATTTATGATTGCTTGATAAAATCAAAATATTGTTGTTATTTCTAAGATGTAACAATGAGAAATAACAAAAATAATTATTAACTATTGCACTCGTTTGGTGTAAAACAATAACATTGTTCCTTTTTTTTTGTTGAATTTGAAGAAAATTGTATATCAAATATTATTATATATATTAAAAAAATATTTTATTCTTATTATGTTAAGTTTAGTTGCCCAATAGTTTGTACTAAATAATACCTTATTTAATAAACAATTAGTCGATACTAAACTATGAATATCTGTAGAAGTTGAGAAATTTATAATTAGTACTTATTTATTTACTGAATAAGCTTTAAATTAATCAAAATTATGTTTGTAAAGTTATGTGTGTAATAAATCAAATAATTATGTATTGTATAATATGTGAAGACTTCTGTGGAAGAATAAGCTTCTAGTTTCATGTCATGGAGTTATGTAGGATGGATTAAATTACAAACTGCTTGGGTATAAACGGCGCATGTTTTCGAACATTAAATTTTTCTTTAATCGTTGGCTCGGAGTGTGACCTAAAAAAAACTCTTTGTTATTTGTAGGGCAAGATTACAATTTTAATAAGTTGAATGACGACGAAGTGAATTCACTTGGGTTGACATATGACTACGATTCCATAATGCATTACGCCAAGAACACCTTCTCGAAAGGTAGCTATTTGGACACAATCGAACCTGTGGACATCCCTGGAAGGAAGAGGCCCGAAATCGGTCAGAGGTTGCGTCTCAGCCAAGGGGACATCGAGCAGACGAATCTACTCTACAAATGTCCAAGTATGAACTATTGTCTTCTTAATTGTGTTTATTGTAAAATTATTTTTTTTTGTAGAATGTGGAAACACTTATCAAGCGAACACGGCGGTCTTTCAATCACCGAACTATTTGATGTCCAAGGGTCCGGATGGCGGAGAGCGATGCGAGTGGAGAATAACTGCCACCCACGGGGAGAAAATCGTGCTGAACATAACCGAGTTGGATATACCAAAGTCAACGAATTGCTCCGACGATTACATTGAAATACGGGACGGATATTGGCACAAGTCCACGCTGTTGGGCAAGTTCTGCGGTTCGGGGAAGATCCAGGGCTCGATCATATCCACCGGCAGTCGCATGTTGGTCACATATGTTACGAGGAATCCCAGTGGCCATCGCGGTTTCACCGCAAATTACGAAGGTACTTAATAGTTATCGCTCACAGTATAATAAATAAACCACAGATGTGCGTTTGTGTGATAGCCGTCTGCCGCGGAGAGTTGGATCTAGAATCCGGCGGTCATCTTGAATCGCCCAACTACCCCGAAGACTACCAGGTCAACAAGGAGTGCGTTTGGACGCTCACTGTGCCGGAGAACTACCAAGTCGCGCTCAAGTTCCAGTCTTTCGAGGTGGAGAATCACGACAATTGCGTTTATGATTACGTCGAGGTTCGTGATGGCCTCAACATGGAGAGTCCGCTGCTTGGCGTCTTCTGCGGCTATAAACTGCCACCCGACATCCGTTCCACTTCCAACCATCTGCTAGTCAAGTTCGTCTCGGACATGTCCGTCCAGAAGGGCGGATTCTCGGCCACCTTCATGAAAGAGTATGATGAGTGCAGCATGACCGATCACGGTTGCGCCCAGGAATGCGTCAACACTTTGGGCTCGTACGAATGTGCCTGCAGAATTGGATACGAATTGCACTCTGACGGCAAAAATTGTGAAGGTAAACACTCTTACACTTTTTGTTTCAGTATTAAATCACTATTATAATCATAACAACAAATTGTTGAACATTTATTTAATTTTATCTCGATTTTCATAATTGTCAACAAGTATTGCTGCCTATTATTAGAATTTTTGATAATTCATTCAGAACATTAATATCTATGTGAGATGTCTATTTCAATACGCTGCAATTTTGTTCATTTTTCGTTTTGGTAAAAACCTTCGTCGAATATCTAAAAATAAAGAGTGAAATATTTTTAACAATCATTTTAGTAAACTGATGAGAATTTGGATAATATTTATACAATTGAAATTATGGATGTATCAAGCTAATTGGATAAGGTTTAAGTACAGTTATTTTTTGTTGATCTGTTAGATATAATCTATGATATATACTTTAGCCAATATAATATTTATAATATTATAGTAGCTTAAATAGCTGACCTTTCAACGATATTGCGTCTAAAAACAATACACATTAAAAATAATGATAATGTATTTCAGGAAATTACATATTGCAGCAGCTAAATCGATTACATTATTCAATTAATACCTAACAATTATTGTGTATGATTGGCATTCATAATACCATTTTGTTCTTTTGATACAGTATCAATTGAAATTCAATAATTTGCTGTATTAAATACTGTACCATAGGACAATGAATAAGGTCAACAATGTCAATTATTATTGGTGCACTGTTATTTGTGTGTATATAATAACAAATAAAAGATAATTTCTTTCGAGAAAGACAAACAATGGTGAGGGCGTAAACAAAAGGCTTTCCGCATAAACGAATAATTAAATCAATTCTACTTCGTGAACTTTCAATGTACGTGAATGAAAGCAATTAAAATATACATTATTTTATCTACGCTTAATTCGTATTAGAGAAACAAACCAACTTCATATTTACGCTATACTCAATGAATTTCAACATAATCAAAACATTATTTACTAAATAGTATGATAGTCTTTACTAATACGATAATCCAAAACACTGCACCATTAACTGGAATTAATTTGTTATGTTATCTTCTATGCGCATACATTCACATATAATTGAGTTTCTGGAATGGCGGTATTATTTTGTTGGTGGATAAGATCCTTAATGAGCTCTATATTTCAAATATTGAATTAAAGTTTTGTTTGTGTTGACCTTATAACATTCTTTGGACGATATTTTAAATTGTTGTTATTTAACAGTATTATTAATTATTGAAAAAAATTGAAAAAGTTGAAAAACACTGAGTTGAAAGGAAATCTAAATTTACGAAGAATTAATGAATAACATAGTTTTAGTTTTAATGAAATGTAAATAAATAAAAGCAAACTGAATCCAAATACATGTAATTAGGTTGATGACCTATTGATCCGTCACGTTTAATTTGATTTTGTTGTAATTTGCAATATTTTTATCCATGTTAAATTCAGTTATGTCGTATTACAATAATATTCATTTTATTTAATTATTATGCTAATTAACTATTTCACTATGATTCGATTTTTTGATTTATTATTTACTACACTTGTGTTATTATAGATATTAGTAATTGGTTGCCATATATAATCCATTGCTAGTAATTAATTACTAAATATATATTGATGAAATGTTAAACATTGAATTAATCAGAAATAATTATATTCTCGAGAAAATATTAATAGGTAATTGACTTACCACATTTTAAATACATCAATGTACAAATGGATATATGCAGCTCGTTTAATACTTTGTTGACTGTCCTAAATAATCTATGTTCTTTCTTATTTTATAGATGCCTGCGGAGGACAATTCAACGTTCAAAACGGAACGATAATGTCACCGTCGTTCCCAGATTTTTATCCCGTGAACAAGAATTGCGTGTGGGAGATAATCGCTCCTCCGCAATATCGGATAACTTTGAACTTCACCCACTTCGACCTCGAAGGTAACAACCTTCACCAGCAGCAGTGCGATTACGACAGGGTCGAGGTGCACAGCAAAACCGGCGATGATAAGCTGAACAGACATGGAGTGTTTTGCGGTAGCAAAATCCCAGCGCCCGTCACCTCCGATGGAAACATCATGAGGATCTCCTTCAGCTCGGATCCGAGTGTGCAGAAGTCCGGATTTGCTGCCGTCTTTTTCACCGGTAAGTGCACGAATTCGTACATTTCGTAAATAGCTTATTAAAAATTTATGTTGCAGACATGGATGAATGTGCGATAAATAACGGAGGCTGCCAGCACGAGTGCTTGAACACTCTGGGATCGTACGTTTGCACGTGTCATAACGGATTCACACTGCACGAGAACAAGCGGGATTGTAAAGAAGGCGGCTGCAAGCACGAGATCGTCGAGTCCGTGGGACAGATCACAAGTCCCAACTACCCAGAATACTATCCGAGCAGGAAGGATTGCGTGTGGAAGTTCACCACAACCCCCGGTCATCGGATTAAGATTGTCTTCGATAAGTTTGAAATGGAATCCCACCAAGAGTGTTCATACGATCATATCGTCTTTTACGATGGAGATTCGCCGGATGATCATACATTGGGTCGCTTCTGCGGGTCCAAAGTGCCCCATCCCATAGTCGCGACTGGGAACCAAATGTACATGGTCTTCAAGTCTGATGCGAGTGTTCAGAGGAAAGGTTTCCTAGCTACCCATTCGACTGCCTGCGGTGGCCACCTTTTGGCCACCCCGGAAAGACACCATTTTTATTCTCACGCAAAGTATGGAAGTTCACTTTACGAGAGCAAAGCTGATTGCGATTGGACAATAGAAGCACCACAAGGCCAGAATGTTCATCTCATGTTTGTTACATTTGATCTAGAGGACGAAAAAGACTGCGGATACGATTACGTCGAGGTATTCAGTGGTCTCGACTCCAGCGGTGCTTCCTATGGAAGAGTATGCGGCAGTAATGTAAGTAGCATAATACAAAACAATTAAATCTTAATTGCCAATCACTCTGAAGAACTTTTCTTATGGTATATTGATTAAACAGATTTGTTATAATTAAATCATCGAGGTTATATAACATAAACTAATTGGTCGTAGCAATACTTTCATGAATATAAATAACTTGAGAATCTTCTATAAACTATATAGTGCAGATATTTTCATAAATATTTTTATAAACAAAAGAAACGTTTCTACTGCATAAGTTATTTTTATATTGACACTCAAAAATTGAAATTCTCAGACACATCATCTATATTATCAAAATATATATAAAAGTACGTGAAATAATGTTAGATATCAGTAGAAATCACTCGACTTTCAATACATTTTTTATAAGTGACAATATTGTAATGTTTATCATAAATATTGAATAGTATTTTCCAGATAAAATGTAAAATAAAGTGCAATATATTAAGTGCAAATGTAAAATAATGTACGTAAAATATCTATATATTTTGTACAATCTACACTTTTTAAATACATAATAAATCAATAAATAACAGAGATCATTATTCAAGTGTGCAAAAAATTAGATATGCATGTATCAAATTCAATATAATTGTAGCTTTCATTAAAAAATGTCTATTCTACACTGTCTAATACCTAAATTTTACTTGTTTTTTTTTTTTGCAAAATATAAAAACATCTGTGTAATTTATTACACCAATTAGAAGGATTTTGGACGATAATCATTTACTCGTAATATCACCTTTTAAGATTTGTAAACAAATTCAATGATTACCTCAGTTTATGGCGCTATGGTCTAAAATGGTGTCAATATCAAACGATTATTATTAATAATATCATATTTTCAAAAATACTGATAAGAAGAAAAGAAAAATATACAAAGATTATGGAACAATTGGAACGTTTCTAAACGTTAAGCAATATGTTTTAAAGATAATACTTGAGTTTGTAACATTGAGCTTACAATATTAGTATAATAAAATGAAAATTATTTGTTTGTTTAACTTTATGTAAACACATTTGCCAATTACTAGTTGTGCAAAATTAGTAATAAGTAACTTACTGTAATTAGTTTAATAATTTGTATATTTTTTCAGAAACCATCTGATATCATCTCGACACATGAGGCTTTGTTGATAAGATTCAAAACGGACGACTCTATTCACAGTAAAGGATTCGCATTAGCGTACGAAGCCGTGGAACCCTACAGCGAAGAAGAGGATATTTAGAGAATGCTGCAGCCTTGGTACATCTCCAGTAACCTTGCAGCTCCGCACCTCAGAGGGAGCAAGCATTGCAAAAGTTCCTGAGATCTTCGGTCGTTAGTTCAGCCAACCCCCCCACGTTGAAGAACAATACACATTCCCTTAGTCCGTCACCAGATACATGAAAATGTTCCATTTTCTACTGATCCCCTTCCCAATATGTATATACATTTTTTTAATTATTATTAACTAGTACATAATATTTATTAAGTACTTATATCGTTACATAAATGAGGTTTAAGCATTGTAGGAATATTGCAGGAATAGATTGTAAGAGAAATGAAGAAAAAAAGAAGAATTAATGTGAAACACTAACTAATATTTACATGGATGTCGTAGATGATGTGTCAAGGATCGTTCGTCGTGTACATGTGCCATTTGTTGTTCTTTCTATCTCTCCATATTTTGTTTCTTTTTTATTCTGTGTGTGATTTTATAATATTTACAAACAATTCTGAAAAGGAGAAAAATATGTGTAAACCAGATGTTTTCGATTTCAGACTTTACTACTATTAATTACTATACCTATGTATTATCGCATATTAGAAGATAATTGATTTCGTAACGAAACTATGAAAGAGAACAAAAAAATATTACGAAACGAATAAAAATAATAATACTATGTATACTATTACAATATATTATATACTTTGAAAAAGCCGCTTTATTTACGTGTCGAACAACCCGAAAAGATTCCTTAATTTAGAAGATTAAATCTTCCAGGGTGGATCATAAATTGAAGATAATATAAAACCGTGTTGCTCTTTACAACAAAGTGTGTTTTATACATTTTGATGAAGTACGAAGTGCAGACGAGCATCCGATGAGGAGAAATGTATGCTTTTGGTGCACGAACTAATTCTCTTAATTTGTAAATTGCTTTTAACGCGATGGTAATACGCTGATATAAATTGTGACCCAGTTGCTGGACGTGTGCCTGCACTTAGCTTGCTTGTCCTCAAGGACTCTAAAACGCGCGTTTTATTTCGTGCACATACGCTTCGTACGAAAGGCCGTAAAGGCAGTCAGACCATGATGCATTGATTTAGGTCTGCCAGAGGAAACAATGTAGAGAACGGAACGGGAAAATAGGAGCGGTGGAGATCGCTTCTCAACCAGTACAAAAACTAATCTGATGAGGAGAGGACCATTGACGATGGAAAAAGTTGGCCGAAAGTTTTGTTGTTATTGCTAAGAGCAGCTCACAAACTCAACGATGTCAAGTATAGCGATTACTTTATTATTGAAATTTTATCGGTTGTTTTGTTTCCGCATTCTCGATTCGTAATGTATTGAACCGCAATTCCGAAACAATGCTCCGTGAAGGAAATACTTTATTATTACGAATACGAATTTATTGTATCCAAAGTATGAAAACAAATCATACCATCGATCACAATCAAACTTTTTAAGACATTTGTATATTCTAATATAACTTATTAAATTAAACATACTTTAGCAATTCAATAAAAAAAGTGTAGCGAGTGACCATCTGATTATAGAAAATTTAACTTAGTTCATTATAATCATTACTATATTGATTTTGAGTATTTTGTTTATTTCAAAGTTTGTCAATAGTCTAACGTCATATTTAGTATAAACTGAATTTGTAATTTTTGTATAAAATATTTGTGCTTATCTTACATTTATAATGGGAATGAGAATGAGAATATTAAAATTTATCGTTTTTACTAAAAATATGTTCATCATATTTTTTAGATAATTAGAAATGTGGTCGCAAAAAACAAACTGTTTAGTTTTAATAATTGTATTCGTAAATAAAATAAACTATATATACATCTTTGCTGATTTATATAATATTTTCTTTTTAAGATGTTAAGAATATAGTAGATAAGAAAGTTTTTCTTAGAGTAAAACATTTATTTCTTGTTTTGTATTATTTTTGATACATTCATTCTATTCAAATCAAATGTTCTATACATAAATGTTCTATGCATAAAAGATTCGGAGCAAAGCGATTCTTATTGATATCTTGTATTATTTATCTTATCGACGTCCCATCCGTTTGACATATCATTCTATTTGAGCCTAACATCAAAACTTTTTCTCGTTTTCTAATTTAAGTTTAGCGGTGGATGGAGGGTGGTGATGCATTCGTTCCATCGCCGACGAATCTCTCCGCTTTTTCTCCCATCTATTCCTTTTAAACTGGTCCCCATTCCTTTCAGGATTATGCAAAGGGAATCAGATATGCTAATGTCCAAGGCTCGTCGTCCACACCGGCACCGGAATATAAATGGACCAAGACGTTTTTCATTTTACCGCAATTACTACCAACATAAATCAGATAGGGAAATTGGACTAACCTTATTTTATTCACCAATTCGAACAACTTCAAACAAAAAAAGTAATTAGTTTTTAATTACAAATTATTGATTGATTTTATAAGTTGATTTTATTTAATAATTTGATTTTAATTGACTAAATCGATATTCTACGGCACATCAGACTGTGAAAGGATCTTAGGTGTGATGCGAAAATTAAAAAAAATAATTTTCAAGCAAATCCAAAGGACATCGTAATTTAAGTGTGCTCAAAATTTTAACTATATATTCAAGTATAAAAATAAAAAAAGATTGAATAAAACTGGTCTAAAATAAAGTAAATAATAACGTTTTATACCACCTTTATTCAAATACATTTCTTATATAATTATTAAAAATAATGCAACCATTCACAGTTCAAAATTAATAATGATTTATTTAATGATAAGCTCTTTCCAATTTCCTGATCAACTTAAAATCCATATATTTTCTCAAAAATATTCCATTTTCACTTGTGGTCGATGAAGTATATAAATTCAAAATCTCAAGCATGGAGACCGTTTCAAAAGCGAGTTGTAATCGAAAGAAATGTTATTGTAGGTGAGATTTTATTACAGTCTATAAATGTATTTTCGAGTACATCATTTTTTACATTTGTATTATAAAAAATGGATTTTTTTCCGTAATTTTACAAAATATTTTTACACTTTATAGGCAATATATTTTAAGTTTAATTAATTCTCAAAATATTGAGTATTTATTGAGTTTAAATGAAATAAGAAAAGGGTAGAAAAACTCTGGCTGATATTAATAATATTTATAACAAACATATGATATGTAATATTATCAAACAAATGGAAGTACATTAAAACTTACCATTTTCGATGATACAAAAATATTTCCTAATAATGTAAATAAAAGATACAATTTATATTTGATATATTTATTTAATTTGATTTGCTTTATATTTATTTGTATTAAAGTTTTACAATAAAAAAATGTATTCAGTTTTTTTTTCTCTTTGATTAAAAAGAATATTTTCGTTTTCTTATCGGCATTAAAAATCGAACGTTTAGTAGTAAAGCGAACTTTACTAAAGAACAGTTCGCAAATTTTATTTTGAAGAAATTTTGCGCGTTATTCTAGCGAGGTGAGTTTGCAAAAAATACAAAAAACATAATAATTGAACAAAATTTTAATTTCTATCGAATTTCCTAGAGTGTGTGTATTGTACTTTTACACAATATATAAGTGAAGAACATCTTTAAGGCTTACTACTCAACATTTTAACTATTTAACTAATATTTAATAAAATATATTTGAAAAATAATTAATTTTACTGCATCAGATAAAGATAATATTTGAAAAATCAACCATGAACCATAATTACTCTGATAATCGTAAGGTGTGTATGAAATATTGATTCATTTGAAATTTTATTTGTTTAAATTATTTTCTTAAAGGGAGAATACTATGGAAACGATAATGTCAAGAGGAGAAGGAAATTTCATCACAGGAGGAACACCAATCCCAGAAGGTTCAGTAATAACGAGAACCATTATGAAAATCATCACAGTGAAGTACGTGATTTTAAAGGTATATTCAATTAGTTTAGTTGCCTGTCTCAGTTATGTTTAATTAATTTACTGTTTTTTATATAGAAAATAGATATTCCGATAATAATACGAAACATTGTGTTAAACCAAAGTTAAACCCTTCGGCAAGTCAGTTCGGTGGCAATTGTTCGACGTCTACGCCAAAGAAGACGAAGCAAATCAATCAGGGGACCAATACTGATCAAATCAATCTGAGTTCGAAGAGTATCCAGACCTGCACATCTTCTCCGCTACCTGAGGTCAAGAAACTGGAGCCTTTGGTCGAGCTGTCCGAAATTGTTGATAATGGGAGTGGCGAAAAGAAGTACATATGCAACCGCTGCAAGTGCGTGAAAGACGATCTCATTCAAAGCAAGATTGAGGTGGAGCAGTGGTTCCAAAATGAAAATAATAACATCTTCGCTGGGTACATGCTAGAGAAAGGTATTCCTGAACAACAACAGCAGCAGCAGCAAGACTTCGGCAACCTATCAGCCATTGGTAATACGGAGGAGGATCTTATACGCGAGGATATGATCCATCTGAAATTGAACAAGGACGACCTGACGCCTCAGCACTTAGTCGAATACAAACAACATATGGACAGTCGTTCAAATAATTTCGGAACGCCATATTACGACGGTTCCAACGATTCTATGATAGCTTCAAATCAACTGGATCACATGCATATGTATGTGCCGTTCTTGTGCCTGTACCCAGTTCCGAACGGCGAAGAGTCGCCACATCATCATCATCATCGTCATCATTCAATGCAGAATCCACAAATCCAGAATCCTGCATTAGATTACTCTTTCGCTGAAGCCGCTCAAATTGCGAACGTCTCAGGGCCTCAACCCTATACATCTTGCCATTTTGCAGCATTCTATTTTACCAACTATTTCCAACAACCGCCAGCGCAGCCGCAACCACAAAACTATTAAATTACTCATTAAATGAACCACAAAAAAACTTAAATAATATGTAAGTTTAAAAAAAATATATATACATACACAAAAAAAAAACTAAAATATGACAATTAGTTCAGCTATCTTTTATATAAAATACATTGTAAATATATTTAAATAAATTTGAACAATTTCCACGCGATTTACAACCGTTAGTAATTAGTGTCTACATACATTCCAATGATGAATATAGAAGGATTAGATCCTTAATATACAAGAAATAATTTAGCAATAAATAATATTCAATCATAGACTTCAAATCTCACAATAATGACAGTCACAAAAAGTTTTTATAATAAAAAAAAATGCTATTACTAGTACTACTAGCAACTATTTTTGAATTACAAAACTATTAGTATACAACAAAAAACAACATTAATCATTACAATGGGCAAGTAATCATATTTTTTTCCTTCATATTAAAATACTTTCTATTTTATATCCAATTGGAATAATGTTTAATATTTTGTATTTCTGTTATTATAATGATAATATATAAATATTAGGATGGAAAGACTGCCGTTAATAGCTCTTAACGTAAAAGTATATCGCTATATAGCAGAGGTGGTCAGACTTTTTGCAGCTAGGGTTATATCTATCTATCTGAAAATATTGGGAATGTAAAAATGTATAAAAATCTGAATCATATTATATAAAATACAGTTTGGCCACTCGTGCTATATAGTATGTGTAAACTACAATATATAGTAACCAACATTGGTTGCCTTGATGTTGATTGGTGAGAGCGCCTCGTGGATGTAGTCATCAATGAACAAAAAGAAACAAATAACTCTAGTTATAATAGTTTTACAATAACTTTAAAAAAATTGGTTTTCGACTATCAAATTTTCTACAAAACCGGTTTAAACTGGATTTTCATAAATAAATACAGAGGGTTTTTACAATTTAATCTTTTCGCGCCTTAACCTTTTCTCACCATGACTTTAAAATTTTATGTTAATAGACCTTATTATAGCTTGTTTTCAAAATTTTGAAATTTTTTGGTTATTTTTTTATAATTTTTTTAATAATCAAATTTGTGCTTTGATAATAAAAATATTTCATCTTCATCTTGGGATACATCCCATATATGCTAAGCTGTCATCATCAATACCGCCTCAATTAGTTTTCTACTAAATCGCTACATATACTTATTCCTAGAAGAAACATTTCGGTTACCTCTTTGACCCAAATTAAAGTAATAAAAAATGTAAATTATTAAATAATATTTATTGGACGGGCAGAAAGACTTATGGTCAATTGCCCTTTTTAGTAGTTTACTTTTTGTTTCATTATTATTGTATGGAAATGTTAAATTATGTTTTTTTTTTGTATTGTTGCAATAATAATTATTGTAAGTTTCTTAAAAATATGTTTTTGAGTATATGTCGCCAAGTTGTCATTGGTAATTATCGAAAGAATGTTGGTGGTCGATAGAGATTGAAACAATTTTTGTTTTTAGTATATTCTAATTTTACTGTTTTGTAATTTTAGCCTTATGCAATTATGGACTTTCAGTTTTGTCTAATCGAGCAGTTTAACGAATTAATTAAGTTGTTGCCTATATTTTCTGCATTAATTATGTATGTGTCACCTGCACATTTTACATGCATAATACAATTTTAAAAATCAGAACAAGAAAATTAAATTACAAACTACATTTTATTAAGAAAAAAAAATGTCAGCGCTGAAATGTTGCATATAAATTTTCAGTTTAATCCAAATATAAGAACGCAATAAAACGATTTCGCATACTTTGTTTCTGTATGAAAATAACTGAATGCAAGATTAAGAGGAAAGGAAAGCACTTTAATTTGGGCACGGAAATGCCTTCGGTTACTGCCACTTCGTGAATATTGCCACGACCCGAGGATTCCGAACGGATTTCCTATTATTTTTATTCGCTCACCGATTAAGCTCGACCACCTCATTCAAACGCTGAAAAGAAGTAAGATTTTTCGAACAAATACAATTATTTTAATTACGCAAATGCAAAATTCTTTAAGAAATTTAAAAATTATACATCAATTATATTAATGGCAATATTAATGAAATGGTTGGGAAGGTTTACTTTAATTATTAATTATATTATAATTATAACTTAGCTTAATAATTGTATAATAATAAATATATATCTAATTGTAAATTTTTCAAATAAATTCTGAATGTTCAGAATCTCATTTGGTGGATCTGCAGAAGCATCACCTGGAAGAGATTTACAAATGATTAATGATTGCGCGACATAAAGTTTTATATTGCTACGTGTTCTAGGGTCTTTCAATACCAATAGATCCACACATGTTACATAAACAGAGGGACCAAAGCAATATCATTTACGGTGAGGAAAGGTGGTACTTGGTATAAAGAATAGGAAATGAATTGTTTAGATTTACTAAGGTTAGTGTTGAACGGGTCGAATTTGAATATATATATATATATAAATCCAGCAATACTTCAAATAGTCCGGCATCATTAAGGTTGGTATGAAAATTTCAAAATAAACTAAATTTTAAATCAGTAAAATAGAAATAAATTATAAAAAATAGTACACAAGTTTATTTTTTATCAAATGGTTTCAAACAGTCCGGGATATTTGTAAAACTATTTATATTTTCTATTTATAAGAATATGCAGCTCGATAAATATGTTGTACTTTGTAAAATATATTTTACTAGATGACGATTATCTAAAATAATTTAATTACAAATCAATCAGTATCAGTAATATCAATCAGTTATGAAATAAAGTATATTCGAAAAAATTGACTTTGACAATTAAAGCAATAATTCCGTATTTTTTTTATTCAGTACGAGGAAGCATCCAGTATTTATTACTATGTTTTATTTGAAATTCCTAAACCTACATTATATATATACTAATTTACATTTATATGTAGTGTAAGTAAACGAAGCAAACATTTATTCAAGCTAATAGAAGCTTATTAAACTCGCGGGACGTATATATTGTTGCCTACATCAAATGTAAATGTGATCACGATAGCTGCAACGATAAAATCTCGTGCAAAGGAATAAAAAGGACATAGAAAGAGAGGACATTTGCTATGCAACAAAACGTATCTCATTTGGCTTTTCATCAAAGGATTTGCTTTTACTATGTTATTTTACATTTTTTTTATTACGTTCATTCTTTTCTCAGCAAGGTAAACAACGTTAGATGAGGAAATTATTTAATCTAACTTAATAAAAAAACGATCAAGAAAAGTGAATGCGGTGCGACCGGTGTTATAGCAAGAAAGAAACTTGGAATTCAATTATAATGTTCGTATTTCAGTGCCCATAATCGAGATGAAGATTGCAAAAAAGAATATGAAAGCGTGCACTTTGTAGAGTGTAAGAGAGAGATGGAGTGAAGCAGAAGTAAGTGGACGAATGCAATTAGTTTAGTTTTCGCTATGTCTGCTTTTTTAATAATTGGAGCAATTAATATGGTAAAAAAATTGAACGCGTTTGGATGGAAGAGGGTTTAAAAGTTTGGTATAATTAGTTCCTGGATTTAATGAATCGAGATCGGCTTTTAGTCTTATTAATAACTATGGATTAATTTGATTAAAATTATTCCGATTTAATATCAACGATTGTCAATTTATTATAAACATATATAGTTTTAATATGCACATGAATAATTTCGAGCATTATATTCAAGCTTGAAATAAATAGTCATATATCTATTGAAATCCAATTGCTTTCAAAAAATATTCAGTGAAACATCCATTAACGAGTGACAAGAAGAAGAAAAGTCTCTGATTTTGCGCTTGTAATATCAATTACTAAACTTGTGCTCAGACGTATTATGTGATTATTTTTTTTTAGAAAAGTTTAATAACACTTTCAAAAGTGTCTCCGATGCAAAAGCAGCAAGAAGAATTTAAAATAATTATTTAATACCTCATTCAATAAGTCAGTAGGATGATATATAGTTTAGTGGACTCTTCTCCTTCGAGTCAAATGGTAGAGAAGTGGTTTGCTGATTTTGCCAAAATTCGACAATTGTTGCCGAAAATATAAAAAAGTCAGAGATATCAGAAGGCAGTGTATTCGTCATTTTGCATGAACATTTAATCATGAGAATTTTTTGTTCTGAATGGGTACCGCGTTTAAGCTCAAAGTGAACCAAAACCAACGAGTTGATGATTCCGAACGCTGTTTGGAGCTATCCAAGCGAAATAAAAAGTATTTGGACACTAAAGGGTGAAAGCCGTATTTTGAGACCAAAGATAAATCGTTCTACAAGAAAGATGTAGAAATCTTAGAGAAGAGTTGGAATGAATGTGTGATACATAAATGATATTGAAGAAGACTATGTTGATGAATAAAGTCGAATATTGCCCAAAAGTTGTTGTTTTATTAGTCATCCTATGAACTTATTGAGTGTGGTGTTATGTATCATAAATGATTAACTAATTATTTAGTTTTTTTTTTGCAAATCTGGGTTGATTCATTCTATAATAGAAGAAAAGATGAAGATGATTCACGCTCCTTAACAATGTATATATAATTTTCTTTGAATATACGTTATTTGTAATTGTATTTGAGTATTTCTTTGGGAATAGAATTTACAAGGGAACAATTGTTATGCGTTACGAGTAAGATTTTTAACGGATTTTGATTTTTTATATATTACTTCTCCGTTTACATTAAAGATATTAATAATTGAATGAGAAAATATATTTAATTATATTACCTATAACAATATTACCTATAACAATAAAAATAGATAAATTCTTAAAAAACATTATTTTATCAAACATATAATATAGATAATAATTCTATTAGTGACAAGGATGCACTTGATTTCAAGAAAGAATTAAGTCAAAACGCGGATCCAAATTTGATAAACACGTAACTCCTTGTCTACTATTTGTAACCGTTCTCGTTTTTCGATTTAATTTCTGTTAATGCCAAGAAAAATTATTCGCAAAGATAGGACGATCCAAAGTGCAATACAGATTTAATAGCTGTAGTAGTTGTGGATATGAGCATCAAAGCGAAATCCAAAATTATGATAATTCAAGCATAGAAA